CCCGGGCTGCTCCGCACCGATCGCCGCCGCGGACCGGGTGGAACCGCTAGCCGCGCGCCTGCTCAGGCACCCTGTCTCCAATGCTCGGGGCCCTGGCTGACAGGAGCTGGAATCGTCCGCGAAGAGGCAGCTCAGAGTTTATAGGGTGGGGCGTTGCTGCGAGTGGGTTCCAGGGGCGAGGCTCTGTTTTGCATTCCCTCCTCCTCCGCCCCGCCCCAGGAGACCCTCTGGGCCAACCCTCTTCCTCTCCAGCTGCTAACGGAAGCGGGATGATGCCGCAGTCATTCCCAGTGTCACCTTTTAGATCTGTGCCCACCTGTCCTGGAACCCGCTTGGGGAGAGATTGAGAAAAGGAAGAGAGCTGGGGGTCCAGGAGCAGCCATTCACGCCAAGAGTAATGTTCTTCTACCTTTTTTTTTTTTTTTTTTTTAAACTTGGAAAACTTTTAAGGCTAAAGTAGGGAAGTCCTTTTTCCTGTCACTCAAACTTGGGCTTTACTGTTGTGGATCACAGATCATCTCATAGATAAATTTCAGCTAAAGGGTGAATTTTTTTTCTCCTATTGGGCATCCTATCAGAAATTCATTTTTTAAAAACATAAAAGTATAAAAAGTTATAGTTTTTATAACAAAATATAACTCCATATTTATGGAAGAATTAATGTAAATTCTTTATAAACTCTTTCCAAAAACAAAAGAGGAAGTATAATTTCCAACTCATGCTATCAGTCCAGTGTTACCCTGATACCCAAACTAGATATCAGGAAAAAGCTACAGGCAAATATTTCTTATGGATATAGATAAAATGACAGCAGATAATCCAGTAACATAAAAAGGATTATATACTGTGACCAAGTGAGATTTACCGTAGGAATGCAAAATTATTTTACAAAAAATCAATTGATGTAATACACCGTTTCAATAGAACCAAGAACAAAAACTACAGTATCATCTTAATAAATAAGAACAAATATTTGACAAAATCCAACACCCTGTCATGATAAAAACACTCAACAAACTAGGTATAGAAAGAAACTCCCTCAGACTGTGAAATCTATCTATGAAAAACTTACTAACATCACCATGGTGAAAGATAAAGTTTCTGCATCTAAGATCAACAAGGCAACCATGTCAGCCCTGCACACTTCTATTCAACATTGTACTAGAGGTTCCAGTCAGGGCAATTGGGCAAGAAAAAGAAATAAAAGGCATCCAGATTAGAGAGGAAGTACAAGTATTTGCAAATGACATGATATTGTTTGTAGAAAAGCTATTATAACTAATGAACAAATTCATCAATGCTTTAAGATATAAGATCAGTATACAAAATCAGTTCTATTTCTATACACCAGCAATGAACAATCCAAAAATGAGGTGAAGAAAAACTACATATACCATAGGTCAAAAGAATAAAATACTTAGCAATACATTCAACAAAAAGGGTGTAATTCTTGTATTCTAAAACCCAGAAAACATTGTTGAAAGATATTAAATTAGACCTAAATGAATGGAATGACAGTCTATGTTCATGGATTGGAAGATAGTATTATTAAAACAGTAATAGCCCTAACCAGTTTGGCTCAGTGGATAGAGCGTCGGCCTGCGGACCAAGAGGTCCCGGGTTTGATTCCGGCCAAGGGCATGTACCTTGGTTGCGGCACATCCCCAGTGGGAGGTGTGCAGGAGGCAGCTGATCGATGTTTCTCTCTCATCGATGTTTCTAACACTCTATCCCTCTCCCTTCCTCTCTGTAAAAAATCAATAAAATATATTTAAAAAAAACAGTAATAATCTGAAAATGATGTAGAGATTAAACACAATTCCTATCATAATCCCAACAAGAAGTTTTTGAAGAAATTAACAAGGTAATTCTAAAATTCATATGGAAGTGCAAAGATCCCAGAATATCAAAAACAATCCTGGAAAAGAAGAACAAAATAGGAGAACTCACAATTCCTGATTTAAAAATTTACTCCAAAGCTATAATAACCAAGACAGTGTGTTACTGGCATAAAGATAGATAAATAGATCAGTGAAATAGAATTAAGTCCAGAAATTAAACCAACACATTATTGTCAATTGATTTTTGACAAGTGAACCAAGACAATTCAATGGGAATGAATAGTCTTCTCAGCAAATAATATTGGACTGGATAGTCACATGAAAAAGAATGAAGGTGGGCCTCTTATAATACCATAAACAAAAATGAACTCAAAATGGATCATAGATATTTTCTTCTTAAAAAAGGGATCATAGAACTAAATGTAATAAGTAAAATTATAAAGGAATAGAAAACATGGGAGTGAATCTTTGTAAACCTGGGTTATGCAAGGAAAATTGGTAAATTAGACTCATCAATATTAAAAACTTCTGTGCTTCAAAGGTCAACATTAACAAAGTTGAAAGGCAACCCACAGAATTAAAGAATATATTTTCAAATCATGTATTTGATAAGGACTTGTATCCAGAACATATAAAGAAGATGGCCAAAGAAGATGGCCAAAATGGCCAATAAGCACACAAAAAAATGTACACCATCATTAGTAATAAGGGAAATGAAAATCAAAACTGTAACGAGATATCACCTCATGCCTACTAGGAGAGCTATAACAAAATCAAATAATAGAAGTATTGGCAAGGATGTGGAGAAACTTGGCCCTCAGACATTTTTGGTAGAAATGTGAGTGGTACAGCCACTTTGGAAAACATTTTGCTCAAAATGTTAAGCATAGAGTTACCATATAATAACTTACATTTTTTTTGAATTTTCTCAAAATTAAAAATACCAACTTTTGTACAATGTAATCAGCTATATAGTAAGCATGGGTTTCTGCATGAAGACTTGGTGGGGATGTGTGGAGAAGCATGGGACTTGGTTGGAAAGTCTGTAAGGAAGATTCTCCGAAAGGTTGGGGGCCTCTGAGGGGACCTTGCCAAAGGTGGAAGCCCCTGCCTTGACTTTTCCAAATAAGTCCAAGACCCAGGGTATTTTGCTGGAATCTCTATGTTTAGTCTTTTAGACCTGACCTTGTAGAAGCATGTGCTTTCTCAAGGATACTTACCCTGCTGATTGTATCTAGAGGTTAATTTTAGTTCAAGCTGCTGTTACAATAAAAGCCTAAGGACGCAGGCAATTGGGGTTGTTTTGGTACCTCCTACCAAGCAGTCCCTTAACCTCTCTTTCACAGAAACGTGTGTCAGTGTAATCCATTCTCATCTGTTGCTCAGGGTCTGCTGGTCAGTCCTGGCAGGGAGGAAGGCATGGAGCCCTGCATATCCTAACCCAGCAGGGAGACAGCATCTTCCCTCCCTGCCTGTTTGTGCCTCTAGAGCAGGGCCCTGCCTGAGTTCACTGTAAGCACAGGGTGCCTGGCACACAATAAGAATTTCCACTAATGCAAGAAGATATAAGACTGACTTTGAGCCCATATGAGCAATATATCTTGGCAGAAATGTTGAGATGGGTCTTGAAAGATAGGATGTTAGAACTTGGAACCAAGGGAACAGCATGCATAAAAGTATTTTGGCAAAACATTATTATTTGTGTGGGAAAGAGGAATGCTGGAACTTTGCAGAGCATATGAATAATAATAATAGCTAGAATTTATTGAGTACTTATTGTACATCAGATACCCTTTAAATTCTTTATCGCTATTAACCTAATTAATCATCACAGTAAGCCCATATATAAATAGGTACATTATTAAATCCATTTGAAGATGAGAAGCCTGAGGTATAGAAGTTAAACAAGTTCTTCAAGGTTACATGATTTGTAAGAGACAGAGCCAAGATTCCAGTTTCTCTGGCATAAGAGCTTAGCATTCACAATGCTAAGAGGGAAGAATAGTAGAAGGAACTATAAAGATGAGGCTAGCATAAATGTGGAGTTCAGAAACTAGTAGAGGGGCTTGAGTTGAATTAAGCAGTTGAGGAATGACTGAGTCTTTTGAGGAGGAGCATGATGTGTAGGATGGATCAGAGTATAACAATGCTAGAAGCAAAGATAACAGTGGTCCAGACTAGAAGCAACAAGGACCTGCTCTACATAAGGACTAGAAACAACGTCAAGACAGAATAGAGAGGACTTACAGAAATAAGTGTATGTGTGTATGTGTGTGTGTGTGTGGAGGGGGTGTATTCAGCTGGTTATGAGAGGCAGCTGATGCGGTTTGTTTATTTATTTAAGGACTTTGCACAGATATCCCACTGGCAATGACAATTGGGAGAGAGATGGCCTTTGAGGAAAAGTCAAAAGTGGGTGACAACAAAATTCAAGGATCTGTGGGTGAAATTAGGAAATGCTCCTTTGATTATTGTTGAAGATTCAGGAGAACCTTATATTTTTTAATCTATTTAGTGATATAAATAACTAATCATAGTCATGCCTGTAATAAATTCCAACTTAGTTTTTGAAATGATCTTAATTTTGAGGACTGGAAGTTTCTTAGAGAATCAGCTGTTTTCGGTGAAACCTTTTGAAAGGGTGGGGTTTGCTTCCAGGGATATTATGTCATCAGAAACAAGCAGATGAGAAGAAAAAATTTCCAAAAAATTAATGGCATCATTATTATTGTGAAGAGTGATGGAGTAGCTTAAACACTTAACACTTAAGGTGAAGCCCAGCTTTGCGGCTCTTTCTTTATCCCCCTACACATACACAAGTTTCCCCCTCTGTTACAGATGTTTTCATATCTACACTAATAAAAGACAAACATGCAAATTGACCATAACTTCACTACACCTTAAGCCATGCCCACCAGTCAATCAGAGTGACTACATGCAAATTAAACCAGCCAAGATGGCGGCCGGCAGCCACAGAGCTGGAGCAAGCAGGAGGCTTGGTTGCCCCAATGATGGAGGAAGCCAAGCTTCCCAGCTGCCACAGCTGGCTCTGAGCTACACTCA